ATGAGTGTGTATGGAAGAGGCAACAAGAATATCGAGGGACGACAGAGAGCACGATGGAACTTTCGTCGCTTTTCCTCACTGCCAGGGAGTATCGAAATATCGGGGTAAATTGTGACGGTCTATGAAAGGCCCCTCTTTGTGCAGAGAGATTGTTCTCTTAGATTTTGCAAGTTGAGGATCCGTTTACTTGGTGTTCGCTGATTCGTCGAAATTCGTATGAAATGTCGATTCTCTATAATTTAATTTCGTTCTGTCAATGGTTATTAATTGTATTTCAACCTCTTCGCTATTATGAGATATATATATATCTATATAAGATGTCGCGTATGGTACGATATTTATCGCGCATCGACTATCTTCTCCTGGAAATCTAGCATCGATATTTTGTTTTCATCGTCAATTTTTTTCAATAAACGCCGTCAAAGCAAATCGATCTTTCTGGAGCACACAGTGCACATTTTTAGCGCGGCGGAAAAGTCGCCCGTAACGAAAGGATTAAAGAAGAAGATGTCGTGAAGATAGCAGTCGTGTAATCGGAATATCCACGAGACTTATTTTCGGAAAAATAAATTGAAAATCCTATGATTTATCATTGACAAAAATCGATCGTTTTTTTTTTGGAAAACGGAAATAATTATAAAAACGCATAGGATCGTATATGAAATCGAAAAATTTCGTTTAACACGAAAGAAAATTGAAGAAATATAGAACGGAACACGGTGGAAAGTTGCACGCATACGGATTGGAATTTTCCCCGATATTCCGGGGCGAGGTTTAACATGTCGAGGTTGGTGGAGCGTGAAGGGAAGAGCGGAGCTCGTTTGCCGATCGAAGTGAGACGAAACTATCGAGAAACTTCCGCCAGTGTTCCCTCCACTTATGGCCGATTCGAGCACGGCGGTCGTTTAAGCGCGATGAAAGAAACACGGAAAGGGATCGAGAAGAAAAATGGTTCGTTACGATTGATTATGAGCAGCCTGTTCCGAACAAATGCGATTGATTCACCGTATAGCATCCATTAAAAGTCCATTTACCGATATCAAACTGGACCGCGAACAAAAGCGAGCCTCGTCCTCGATGACTGGACGAGATACGTACGTATGCTTGTCTTTCAGAAATTTTCCATTATTTCCATAATTTCTACTTGGCCAATGAGGAGTAATAAGTAACAATTATCGATGATTTTTAATATTCGTGTGAATGTTAAGTAGAAAATTCATTCATTGTTATCTAATCTATCAAAATTTAGAATTGATGTTGAATAAATAATATTTTTATATTTATTTTTATAATATAGTGGTTTTCTATCTATCGTTAAAGTATTCCTTTTTTTTAAATCGATATTGTAATATATAATGAAATTTGCGTGTATAAAGAATTTTTTATCAAAATAAAATTTATTCGTTGGAAAGATTATAGAATTAATCAAATAAAAACAATGCAATTATTATTTAAAAAGAATTGGATTGTGTAACAAGTTGAAGTAATAATAATAATCGTTTTTAAACGGAATTCCTTTCAAAAATTTTCCTGTACGCGGTAATAAAAGTATCGTGAAGAAAAGCGATATAGCAAAGTCGTAAAATTTTTTTATTAAATAAGCCGTGGAAGGAATTCTGAAGCGTTGTTGTTCTGTAAGAACAAGCTCATTTCGCAGTATCTTTCAGTCTGAAGCGCCAGTAGCTTTAGTTAGTTTCCGGAGAATTCGTTTAGTCTTAAGGCAGGGTGTGTGTGTGTGTGTGTGTGTGTGTGTGTGTGTGTGTGTGTGTGTGTGCGTGGGTACGTTTATGTTCCTGTGTAACGAGTATTTTAGTGAAAATCTAGAGAGAGCATCGAGGAATTAACCCACGAGGTGTGGTCATGAAACTAACAAGAGAACTCGAATAATATTCTCTATAAGAAATTCCATGTTATGAGAAAGCCATATCGACGGTAATCCGAGAATGGAAATTTCGTGTGAATAGCGATTAACATGGTTTCGAATCTCGACGATGTTAAAGAAGAACGAACATTCGTGAACGATCTTAAAGAGCTCTCTTGACGTAATTCTATGTTATTATTCACAGGAAATCAAATATTCAAAAATAATAGATATTTTTGAATATTCCAGATAATTCCAGAAAAGAAAATATGATTTCTTCGACACGAGCAAATCAAGGATAAGTTTCGTAATTTTCTCTTTTAATATTCGAATGACGTACATCTCTACACGAATTTTCTATTATTACATGTATTGTAATATCATGCATCTTTTCCAAGAAATTCAATAGAATATTTTTCCATTTCTCGAAAATCAATATCCAACTTTTAAAATGTTCAAAAATTATTTTATACTTTCCTTTATCCTTAAGAAAAATAAACTCTCGTTATTCTCACAGAAATTTAAATACACGCATACGTTTCTCAAATCGATCGATATCCACATCAACCACCATTTCGTTTCGTATAATAGATATCTACGTAAAGGAAAACTCGAAACGATAATTCGAGCCGAGCCACTTTCTAATCTTCAACATTGCACAATTGCCAACAACTCGAGTCAGATGGAGACAAACTCGATTTCCCGTTATCGTGGTGGCTGGCCCCTGGTAAGGGATGGCGTCCTCTGCGATCACCTCGTCGGTATAGGCGTGTGTGCACACGCGCATAATAGTAATTTAAGGCGACGGCACGAGAAGGCCTGTTCCTCGTAATTTCATCGACGCTGGTAAATCGCTTTACATGGCATGATGTATTTTGACGAGCTAATGGATATCGCGTACAGATTATCATGCTAAAGAGACGTTAATTAACACGTCGCTCGTTGTAACGGCCGCTTACACTGGCCGGGTACAGATACGCGTTATAGATACGCGGCCCACACACCTAGCGATGGGATCGAGCGCGACGCGAGTCGATGGACCAGATTCGTGTGTGCGCTTTGTTGTTGTGTACGTGGTGTATCTCGACGGAGACCCGTTTCATCCGTTCGAGCAAAATGTAAATTAAATTTTACATATAGCGCGGGTTGGTAGTAATACATAGGATATGTCTTCTGTTGCCGTATATGAATACAAATTTTGTATACGAATAAATGAAAAGAGAATTTCGAAATGGAATTAGATTGGAAAAGACACGAGTGAGTGTCTCTTGCTGGGAATTCATTTAATCCTCTCGACTATTTCATTGCGTATAATTTTACACGATATTTTCAATAAAAACTAATATTTTCCAATCAGAAACGGTATACGTATACCTTCACATTTTTGTAAGGAAACTACATTGCGAACCAAATAACATTTCTAAACCGAAATTTTTAATGTTTGCTATAAAAATTCAAAAGATACTGGTACGCTCCACATTCCAACCTTTCACTTTTAATTCGATATAAATCCATAAGTGCGCAACGAACTTGATTCCATCACTGGACGAGACGAGGAGGAGGGGATCGACGATCGTTTGTAAAATACAAATCGAGCCTCGGGTGCCTATCGGGAAACGTAGCTTCCGCGCAGATTTTTTTTCCCCCCTTTCAAAAGAATAGAATTACGTGGCGGCGCCCTCTTTGTTCCCACACCCAGTGTTCCCCCTCCCCCTCCCCCTCCACACCGGAGGCAGGCTAAAACTGTAATCCGATTTCCTTGACGAGAGCAATTATAAAGAGTGGCACCGCATTAATTCTGCCTCTCGCCGCGAAATTGCTTTATAATTGGTCGTTCGTATAAAAATCTGTCGGCCACGATGTCCCCTGGTGTTGGGTGGGGAGGGGAATCGAAGCTCGATGGTTGGAAACATTTTGCGATTAAGGTGATTTTTCAGAGGGGGAATTTCATCGATGAGCGGCTGAGAGTAGGATCGTTGATGTATAAAGTCAAAACTTTTGACTAACGGGGGAGGAGAAGTCATGGAGGGTGTGTAGAATTTTTTAAAAGCAGGAAATTTATTCGTTTGTGAGCTTTCTCTGATATTTACGGAGTTTTGAGAGAAATAACTCGCTTCAAGTTTCGTTGTTGGGGGAAAGTTTATTGAGTTTTGGAAGAAGAAGATTTTGAGGACAAAATTTTTAGTTTTAGTTCTTTTTCTTTTTTTTTTTTTCTGAAGAATTTTTGTGAAAAAATGAATTTTTTCTTTTTTGAAACTTTTTAACAATGCAATTTCTGCGACGAATTTTTCTAGCTTCGAGTAAGTATAGATTCCCGCGAATGTGGAAAAGTAGTAAGTACTTTTCTTTGATTTTGTTATAACTTTCTGACACACTTACGATTAACACGATTTCTTGGTAAAGCTTATGAAAAACCACCGCTCACGTAGTGCCTTTAATCACTTCTAAAAGAGTTAGGCGAGAAGCATTAAACAAATTTTAAGTAATAGTGCTTATAAAGTTTGACCATAGTTTCAAAGTTGACCTGAATAATTTTTTTCTCTTTCTCTCCTCTCTCTCTCTCTCTTCCTTAGAATAACTTCCACGATGTATTAAAAGTTGCAGGAATATATAACGTCCGTATTAGCGGTGGAAGGATGTCTGACTATAGACGATCCATTACTACTCGCGGCTTTCTTCTCTCCGTTCAATGGAGCTCGGTCAATCACAACTTTTCTTCCCTACATCTCCTCGAATCTTTTGAATAAATGAACTCGCACACCAAGTAAATTTACATTATTAAACATTAACAATAATTCTCATAATTACTACTCATTTAAATACTAAGGGATCACGCTTCTGGACGAGAGTGTTTGACGAAATTGAAATAAAAAAAAGAATTTTAATTCTTCATTTTCAGAAATTGCACAAGATCGAGGTCGAAAATAATGTTCTGTCCCAAATCCTACTCGAAAAAATTCCATTTCTGTTCCGAATACAAGCGTATTCTTGAACAAAAAAAAAAAAAAAGATATTCGAAGGTCGAGGTCGAAAGAAAAGGAGGAAAAAGTAGAATAGGTAATCGGTTTGGAATCGATAGGCATCGAACAGAAGGTATACGCGTGTATATATGTGTGTCTATATATACATATATACGTACCTCCATGCCACGTCGATTTCTCCATCGCACCCACTTGTTGAACCCCGGCCGCCAATATTCGACGAAGTACTCTTCGGTGTACTCGACCCCGTGCCCGTTCCCGAACCTGCCCTGAGTCCTGGTCGACGTCAGTGCACGCGGGCTGTGCAAATTCACCTCGAGGTACTCCTTTCCTTCCTTCGTGACCATATTTTTCGGACACCAGGCACCGCCGCCCTTGTCTTGTCTCAGCCTGGGGAATTACGGCCAAAATTATTACGACCCTTAAAGCGGGAATATTCTCGTGCAATAGCATATTCTATACGCTTATACGTGGGAATCAGGAGTTATTCTCCGGCATATGGGAAAACAGAAAATATCTTTTATCGTGTTTACTTTGATATATATATATATATGTTATAATGTTTCTTTTTGTTCCAATGAATAAGAAATACACACTTTTTCTTGTGAACGGGATATTAAAGTAGAAGTAGGATTTTAAATTTTAGAGTTAGCATTTAATTATAGTGTGCACATGCGACGTATTATTTTTCTCTATTTGTATGTATCTGTTAGAGACAAGAGTCTAATAATATAGATATTTAATAATCCTGAATCCTGAAGCCTCCAAATGGAATAATATATTATATATCCTGTTATACGTACATTTCTCGATTTCTCAAATTAATGAGATTCTACAATTTCGATAATGGCCAATTGTGAATGAAAGCAATATGCATCGAAGATTCATATTCGTGGCAAATCAGTATAAATTTGATGCATTTGGTTAACTGATATTTTATAAGATATCTTATAATATACAATTAATTTTAATTATCTAAAGATGCAAAAACTTATTTTATATATTTTTTTTTGTAACTTCTTTCTTTTTACGTAGCAACAATTCAATCCTCCAAAAAATTACTCTCAGTATATATTACGTTAGTCTCTAAAAAGGATTAACAAAGAATAGAAAATATTTTTCTCAACGTTTTGATTAATAAATAATACCAGGAAAAAAAAATCACAAGAATTCTACAATTCTTATGAAAATAACATTGAAACGTATTATCCTATTATAATTTCAAAAAGATTAAAGGGTGTAAATATTAATTTTCTTTCTAAAAAAACATACATATTTCCACTCCCTAGATATTTCGATACGAGTTGAGGAATAATTAATGACCGATTTCTGCTCTCTGCCTTCCCCGTTTCTTCGTCTCCCGCAGTGCATAAATGTGTATAAATTAATGACGCGTATAAATTAATGACGAGAAGATTGATTCTCCCGTTTAACCCTCGAGATTTCTTTTTTCTTTTTTCTTCCCACTATCGAGTTATTTATTATATCATTTATATTTATTTATATATATATATCGATCCGTGCATCTGTGCCGATAATGGCTTTCAACGTTGATATCGAGAGACGCGCAGAATGAGAGGGAGGAAGAGGGGGTGTGAAAGGGAGAGAGGATGGATAGAGTGTGCGAGAGCAATCGGCGTTTAATCATCGGCGCACGTTTCTGACCCATTTACATGTGTACCACGTCGTCGTCGAGAACAACGACAAAGCAATTCCTATTCCAGGCCACTTCGTCGATGTTGCTATTGTTAGGGTTTAACCTTCGCATCTGCGTAGGAATTTTCAATGGAATTTTTATCAATTTTTTCTCCTTCTTCTTTTTCTCTCGGAGAAACATTTGAGTCGAACATTATACGAATTGTATTCTGATATTTCCTGTTTTTTTTTTTTTTTTCATGGATGAAGCGATATAACAAAGTTGTTAGGATCGAAGAGTTATTTTTTTCTCACAGGTCAAGTAAGTTTTTGTGTACAAAGTTGTACAAGTGTTAGGATTTTGCGAAAAGAGAGGGAAAAGTGTTTGAGGATAACACGAAATGAATATACATAACGTGTACTTGACCTAGATAAGTTGTTTGAGTGAAAGAAATAAGGGAGGAATAGGGAAACTGGGAGCGAACGCACGTGTTCGCAAACTTAAATTATCGCGAAGAATTAGTTTCAGTCATTGGAGAATTACCCCCCGAATTTTGTTTTATTAATTGTTATCGCCTTATTTAATCTATCACGAATTTATCTAAAATACTTTGTACGAACGAAATTTTCGTAATAGCATCTAATTTAATCTTATCTGAATTGCCTCTGAAAATCTATTTGTGAATAACTTTACTTGCTCGTAAATACGTATGAATAACATGATCAAAAAATTAAAAACTTAATTAAACATTTTATTCTAAACAAATATATAATTCTCTAACACGAACACCAATTCCTATTAATTAAAAAGCCAATCTTGATAATTAAGTGATAATAAAAACTTCATCAACGATACATTCAATTGCTTAAAATTCTTAATTCACGATATCTCTCCATCCACTCTTCACACTTGTCGGAAAACGCAAACGATGCGACGTATCCCTTCATCTAACCCTAAATTCTCCTCCAAGATTTCCACCCCGTACAATCGAAACAAAATCCCCCGAACGCGATAAACTTCCACAAGGAAATGCCACAAGGTTCTGATATATTCTTTCCTGGCCCGTGCACAATCATGGACACATCCCACAATTTCGAGCACGAAACGAGTTTTTAATTCAACGAGAACCGGGAAAGAACGTGGCCCCGATCCATACGGGATCACAGAGATCCCGCTTTATCCAGTGGCGGTGAGTCGCGCTCGATTTTCCATCCTCCTCGCGGCTAAAAATACCGGCCGATAACAAGATCGCATTATGTTCAGGGATTCTTCGCGTGATACGAATTGTTAGCTGGATGGAGTTTCATTTTTAAGCTCTATTTATCACATGAGCAGTTTTGAAAGAATATTATCGGGGAACTGATTTGGATAATCAGTTGAGATAAAATGTATGTTCGAGAGATAATCAGAATAATATCTGCACCTGAGAGTAACAAATCATTTGTCAATATAATAGATCGGTATACATTTGCATTAATAAAATTGGTTTGAAAATTGAAATTGAAAGCTTTTGAAAGAGTATTAGGGGAACAGACTTATCGTTGAGATAAAATGTATTTGATAAGATAATAACCTGCATCTGAGAGTAATAAATCATTTGTCGATGGAACAGATTATGTAATAGTGAATTCAAAATTGTTTGAAAATTTTTTATGTGCAACCAACTTCTTTTGAAATTGGAGAAACTGATTTGGATATCGTTGATAAGATAATAGAATAATACTACAATCGTCATGAAATAGATTATATAGTAATATTGGATTCAAAGTTGTTCGTATACTTGTTATTTAACGTGGTTCCTTTAATTATTTTGGTAAAACGATGGTATATATTTGCTAAAATTCGAAAAGAAAAAAGATTTGGGTTAGTTTGATTGTGTATAAGATAAAAAAAGAAAATCTATCATCTGATGATCGAGAAACTAATCATAGTTCACATCCAACTCGAATAATTTTACTACCACTCACAATTCAATGGTAATTTAAACGTTTAAACGACCAGGATACAATTTCCTTGATTTTCAAGCCTCGTTACAAGTTAATTCGAAATGAAACCTTAGCTTTTATAGGTGAGCTCCAACTTTTTCTTTTTGTACAGTTGCACAAACTTCCCTATCAATTAAAATTAATGAAAGCTGAGCCAACGTGTGGCCGTGTTTCCGACAGACCACGATACTTTGTTTCGATACGAGGGCAACTGGGCGGTAATTAATCTGTTATTTCGTTGCGATTTGTCGTGGTGGATAGCGGAACGTTGTTTGGCAGGTCGTGTGTGTCAAAACGGGTCGGATAATTTGGATTGTTTTGATGACGATGCGATTCGTGCTACGTATCGGTTTGATTGCAATTTGTAGAATGGTGTCACTTTGTATTTCATCTCGTGTTGCATCGAGAATTCTATACCATGTTTTTTTCAAGTATCATCGTCGAATTTTTTTTTCTTTTTCTATCATATTTTGAGTAGAAATTTGGAAATTTTATAGAATTATGCCGATACTTTCGTACGTGAAGTATCGTATTAAAAATTAAATTTATCATTTAACCTTTCGAGTGTCACGGTTCATTACTGAAAGTGCACAATATTATTTTATTATTATACTCGAACCTTTATTGTATTAACCTTTTATCGTTTTATTATATTATATCAATATATTAACCTCGTATTCTTATTATAATATATTACTCCGAAAACAATACATAAAAATTCCCGACGTAATTGTTTAACAGATTAATGTAGTTCGCCATTTTACTGAAAAACTTTTTGCGGAATATATAAAATACTTCTGTAAAAAATAATCCAAAATTTAAAAAACGTCACATTTCTCCCCCCTTATCACGTTGAAATATTTTATTTATGAAATCTACTTGAAATTTTGACGATTTTTATAAACTGTAACATCCCTTCAATCGCGACCGACATTCTGTTCCATTGCACACGAATAAAAATTTCGAACAATTTCAAAAGCCCATCGTCGAACACTTGCAAATCCTGTAATATACAATAACAAAAATTTCTCTTCCATATCCCCCTTCCACCAAACGCATCCACTCGTTTCGTCCAATTCGTCTCGATAACACAATCCTCTTACCTCTCTCTTTCGAAGAAGAAAAACGAAAAGAAAAAAAAACCCCTTCGAAGATTTCCATCCACCTGGAAAAATATCCATCCATCCACACATGCAACGCATATACCGGTCGGAAAATCGGGGAATTCGCCACGAGTGGACGTTACTTCCGGCGTTCCGATCCAGAAAGGGAGAGGGGAAGGCGGCGCATGCGGCCCACAAAGCGGCCGAGAATCTCCATGGAAATATTTCAGCTGGTTCGGTCGTCGAGGACTATCATAGAGGCGGCGTGCCCGCATGTAAACAATAGGCCAGGCGAAACCCACTGAAAGCGTTTGCGGTTAATTAGGCAGCAATGCTGTTAACAATGTCCTGCCTTCGCCCCTCCCGCTTCCCATCCTGCGCAACCTAGCACGGCTAGGAAATTCTCCGCCAGGATTTCGTACGAATAAAGTTATCCTCCTCCTCCTCCTCCCCTCTCCGTGGCTGATTCCACGATCGCCTCGAGGTCGCTAATTATCTGTCGTTCCTGCGGGCTAATTACGCGGGCAAGGAATTAACCAACCGTGCGGAGAGCGTTGAAAATTTCCACGATGATAGCGTCTAGCCACTGATATTCGTGTGAAATTTTCTTTTTTTTTTTTTTTCTGTTTTTTCTTCTTCTTCTCCCTTTGCTGACAACGCATTCCC